CTTTCAGAGTCGAGGAACGTGAAGAAAGTCATTCGGTCTCGCCGCGACAAAACTTACGCCGAGCAAGCCCGGAAGTAGAACAGCACACCAAGAGACAGCGCAACGGCTATAGCGATTACACTCCAGTAGCATCAGAAGCTTCCCCACGACTTTCTGTTCAAGACCCAACATCTCCAAGAGCTGCGTGGGCTGAGCCAGGGAGTGATCGATTGAGTGATCATACCTTACAGACAGAGTGGCAAAATGACCCGTTCCACTCTGCAAACTCAGATCTCGCCACCGAGCTTTTGTCGATTTTCTTCAAATATGTTCCAGAGACAGCCCATTTTATGTTTCCAAAGAATCAATTCACCAGCTGGGCTCGTTCTACCAAGGATAAGTCTTTGAATGACCTCATGCTCATATATTCCATACTTGCCCTTGGAGCAGTATTCTCACCTCGATCTCAACACAAGCATCTGGCTGCACGATATGCTGAAGTCGCTAGATATGCATGCGACAGGCGCCACATTGGCATTCAACTAGTCCAGGCTCGTCTGTTATTGGCTTTATACTATTTTGCAATCAATAACCCCAATGATTCATGGGATTTTTGTGGGTCTGCTGTGAGAGCCGCCACAGGTTTGAAGTTGAATATAGAGATAGAGAAGAGTGACGATGCTTATCTCAAGAGCTTTCCCTTCGGACTGAACTTCGGCGGATATGCGGAGTGCAGAAGACGAACTTTTTGGAGCTGTTACATTATGGATAGATTCAATGGATTCTGCTCTGGACATCTGAGCATGATTGATCCAAAACACGTATACCTTCGTCTACCTTGCGATGAGGAGAGCTTTGAGAACCAGGTCAATGTTCAAAATCCTCTTTTTGAGGTCTCGAACCCGCGATCCTTAGACTACCCACGAACTTTGAACTTAATGGCATACTTAATAAACGTTGCAACGATTTGGGGTGATGTTATGTCCAACATATACAGCAATTCACAACGACCACAATCCATAAGGAGCTCTGATTTTAATGAGTTTTATCGATCTACCATGGATCGCCTCTCAAGTTGGAAAAGCACACTGCCAAACCGCTTTGCTATCCCGGCGGAATCAATGGAAAGAATGTCCGATGGTGGAGAACTGGGCACCTACATAACGATGCATGCAGTGTATCACACAACATTCATGAAGCTTCATCGATATGTTCAACCTTACAATCTTGACGAGTCACAACATTCTCGTTACAATTCTATAGCCGAGGAGCAGGCGAAGAAGTTCTTGACAATCATGGATGTTGTAGCCCATCGTCGTAAATCTACCGGTATGAGATCGCCGAGCTCAAATACGTCCATCGAATTCTCCTCACCCTTCGTGGGATATGCTATTCTCTCTGCAGTCGATATCCTCTCGGCTAAAACACATAAAGCATCAATACCCTCCATCATCGATTCCTTCTCCGGTGCACAATCAGTCATCGCCGAGATTGCACAGTTCTGGCAGATGGCAAGGATTCAAGAAGCACTCATCTTGGGACGCGTGAGTGATTTGATTGAAATCGACCGCAGGAGCTGGTCGGCTTCTGCGAAACAATCGAGCGCGGGGATTTTTGAGATGAGAGAACCATTGGAGAAAACTTTCTCTCGTGAAAACGATGGCATTTATTCAAAAATATAAATGCATTTTTAAGGATTGTTCTTGTACATTATTACATTTTTATTATATTGATGACGGGTCCTCTAGAGGAGATGGAATGATACCAAGAGGCGTTTGGGATTGCGATGCATTTGCGTTTTGCATTTTGGATGATTATGAGAGCATCTTGCATAGCGAGGCAGCGGCATAGGTATGGAATACAGTACATACCGGATTCTTAGTTCTCGATCAATTTTACATCAATGACATTTCATCTATTACCTTGAAGATCTGTTTCATCTTGTCCTCATGTTCAAAATATGGATTGTGTATATAAACTACAAAAATGTTCTGCATTCTCCGGCTCTTCAATATGACTACTGTGACGAACTGACAACACATCTACCCTTCATCAACACGCGTCAACATCTAGGAACACATCTTCACCACTACAAGTAACAGTCTCACGGAGCATCTGATCCTTCTACCACCGCCTCAAACACTTCCACTGTCTTCTTCAAACATTTAACCGTCCAAACCCCGAGCACACCCCCATCCTTCTCCAACTCAATCTGTTCAAAATCGGCGATCTTTCAATGTGGAGAGCCAACTTCCCTAGCACCCCATAAACCCACACATCACCTACACTATCTACACCACGACAGACACCACTGCCACACCACCACGTCCGTACATTGAGTTTCACCGCCGTGTCTATACGCTTTACGTCAAGATCGACCGATGCTGACGTTTGCCGGCGTACTAAATGCAAGTGATGAGCTAAGCGTGCTAGATATACACCGGAGACGCAATAATCTCCTAGGTGACCAGGTCGGGATTTATCTGGCTTCTGGAAATACCGGGCTGGGTAAGGGGACGAGTAATATGGGATATGCAGGAGCCGCTCGGCAGCTGAAAAATCTAACTGTTTTAGGAGTGCGCAAGCGATGCTCTTTGCTCGTTTTTTAGAGTTTGGCTGAGTGCGAGGTCCTTTGGGTTAGTGGGGTGGAGAGGCTGGTTAGTGTGTACCGGTGGGTTGGGATTCCGGAGGGGGGGATGACACGTAGAAGGGTTGGTTTGTTTGGGATGGGTGTGGGTATGGGTATGGGTAGGGATTTGGGATTGGGGCAGGGCAGCGCAGATGACTCGGTAGTGGTGCGGACGCTTAGGCGGTAGATGAGGTGCTAAGAATCAGAATTAGGGGATGGGAGTTGGGGAGTTGGGAAACGGAGTTTTGACGTGGGCTTTTACGATTTAGACGAGGAAGGCGAGGGGGAACTGGATTGGGATGGTGAGTCGGGTAGATAAGAAGGAGGAGCTAAGATAGGGAGTTGGTTTTGGTGTTGGGCTTGGGCTTGGGCTTGGTCTTGCTCTTCCTTCGGTGGGTATTGAGGCGGGTGTGTTTAGGTTGCAACTAGAGGTGAGGAGTAGCGCTCCGTAGACACGAAGATGTGGCTTGGGTGTCGATCAGGTGATGCTATCGACGGACTTGTCGATGATTGCCGGATGTGCGAAGGAGAAAACCCAGGAGGTTCGAGCTCAAATTCTCAATCTCAATTGAGAAGGTAGGGCGGTTGTGGTGAATGAAATACTTCGTAGCAGAGTCCAAAAGTGCTGCACCAAGTAGCATTACTCGATGCACCAAAGTGCAATCCTCAGTAATGATCATTTTACCCCGGATATCAACGTACAGTTGAAAATATGATTGAACCCTTTTCTTTGTTGATGGTCTTGAACGGGAATCACCCACCCATTTTGACTTTCATGTGCGGTGTAATAGACAGAATAACGGGAGAATGTTTATTACTTGCTGAAAGTCTAATCTCAGAGACCCTTGCTATATTTAAAGTTTGCTATAAAATATATAAAGTCTAAATTAAAGGTAAAACACAAAATATCAATTCTGGCAATTCAGTATTTTATCCATGGATGTCGTTGTGTTTCCTGAAGCCTTGAAATCGAGGCATAAAATTTATTGGCTTTGGCGGTGAGAAATAGGTAGGCAGAATGAGCTTGTAGTATCCGAATTTCTTATGATGCTTTAATGATTTGTGATGGCAGTATTGAATCTTTTTGTGTATAATCTAAGGACTTTATATCTTAATCCACAATGATGCGATGAAACTTCTACAACCAGAATGGAATTTCCTTCCAAGCCGTTGACGCAACTTACTGGATCCAATGGTGTGTATAAACCTCGCATCTATTAGGATTTACCACAGCTAATTCGTTACCAAAGGACCGGTCCACGCATTAACATACTCATCTTCTCCCTCACTGTATATCCTGACTGGCTCCGCTGACCGCAATATTCGACTATATAATCCTTTGCGATCTGCAGCTTCTTCTCAACCTCTCGCTCCTCATCAACCTCTCGCTCCTCATCAACCTCCCAAACCTAGCCAATTGATCCAGACTTATTCTGCGCATGGTTATGAAGTCCTCTCTATAGCAGTCGCGTCAACAAACGCTACATTCGCATCATGCGGCGGTGACCGCAGCGTATTTCTCTGGGATGTTCAGACCGCGAAGACGATTCGAAAATTTGGAGGGAATAATGGACATACATCTCGGGTGAATAGTGTGGTATTTGCGGGAAGCGAGGAGAGCTTGTTGGTTAGTGGAGGGTTTGATAGGAGTGTGAGGATTTGGGATATTAGAGCAGGGAGCATGAAGCCGGTGATGGTTATGGAGGATGCGAGGGATAGTGTTAGTGTGGTTTTGGCGGGGAAGGGAGGAGATGAGGGGTATGGGGGTGGGGAGTATGAGATTGTTAGTGGGAGTGTGGATGAGAGGGTTAGGTGGTATGATATTAGGGCTGGGACCCTGGAGACTGATGTTATTGGACGGAGTGTGACGAGTTTGATGAGGACAAGGGATGGGAGAGGTGTTTTGGTGGGGAGCTTGGATGGGTGTGTCAGGTTGATGGATAGGGAGAGTGGAGGATGTTTGAAGACTTATAAGGATGAGGGATTCAAGAATGAGGAATTCAGAGTCAGAAGTTGCTTTGGGGGTAATGAGAAGTGGGTGCTATCGGGGAATGAGAATGTTAAGGGACCGGATGGAGAAGTCGTGGTTTGGGAAACTTTGACTGGAAATGTTTTGCATAGAATCAAAGTTGAGGGCTCGGAAGTCGAAGGCAAGAAGAAGATTGGACGGGGTGGCAAAGAGAAAGAACGTACGAACGTTATCAGTGCCATCGCCTGGAAAGAAAATGGCAAGGGAGACCAATGGTGCTGTGCTGGTACCGATGGGATAGTCACAGTTTTTGGACCGTCATGAACTCATAACGTGTTGATCAAAATTGCGATATTTGACGCTTGTCCATATGGGTAAACAACAGGTACTTTTCAAAATGCTGTCACCTACACAAGCTCTAAGATGAAGTCGGCCGCCAAGCTCAGTGCATCTCTTCTTCCCCTGAAGAATCAATCATTCCTTAGCAAGGCAGTAAACTTGGTCGGCCAAGAATTTCAGCAGCGTAGGTCAAATGTAGTTCGTTCTGAGCCCAGCGGCTCATTGGGAAAAGACGGAGATTTATTCTCTTCCGTTGTCAAAGTCAAAGCATGGCTCCAGTTTATTGACAGCAAAGTGTTGACATGACGAATTGTAAGGCTTTCACATACAACACACTGGATGTGACATTTCACTGCATCAATAACCTCCGATGCATGCAAACCGGTAGTCACGACGCAGAATCGCTTTAGTGGCGGAATCATCCGATCCATCCGATAAGCATCTGCGGGGAACATGGATTCGATAACGACAACACATCTGTGGCGCGGAGTGGAGGCAATAACTGCTTTTTTCATCAATCTCATATTCCTATAGATCCTCAGTTAATATTTCATATACCATTTTGTGTGATACCCAGTGCTCTCCAAGACAATTGAAGCCTCACATTCACAGATGCCTTACCCAAACGTCTTTCATCTTCCAGGGGAAGATATATCACCCTCCACAGACATCAAACCAGCAACCATATCCCAACCCCTTATCAACAGTATTCCGCCTGATCTTCTTCCCCGGTTTGATCCCATCTACGCAAAATATTATGCCCATTACTCAGCTGGACGATTGGCTACCCATCAAATTCCAATCAAGGAATCTAGGGCTAATCCTCGCAAATACAACATCGTATACGGGCGTGCTATAGCACCTGACGTACATTCTATCACCGATGTTCAATGTCCGGTCACACAATCTAGTGATGGAAAGAATAGCATCACAGTGAGGATTTTTGAACCAGCTCCAACTATTAACGAAGGGAAACCAAGACCCGCGTATATCAATTTTCACGGTGGGGGATGGGTCTTCGGGGGCTTGGAAACGGATATGGAGTTTTGTAAGAGATTGGTTGGGGAATTGGGTTGTGTGGTCTTTGATGTGGATTATAGATTGGCGCCGGAATATCAATGGCCTATTCCAGTAGATGATTGTATCGAGGCTTTTAAATGGATTGAATCGGATGAGATGGTTCAGAAGCGAAATCTGGACAGGCAGAGGTTTGCGGTGGGAGGGATAAGTGCGGGGGGTATGTTGGCGGCGGTGGTGAGCCATGTTTGTAGGGATGAGGGAATGCCGTTGAGTTTTCAATTGTTGGGCGTGCCGGTTGTGGATCTGGATGGATATGGGGCGGATGGAAAGTTGACGGAGGAGGGATGGGATCGGTACCCTAGTTATAGGGAGATGGAATTTACGGTGCCGTTGCCAGTGGCTAGGATGGAATGGTTTGTGTCACACTTTCTCGGAGAAGAGAGGGGTCGGGATACTTATAATGCAAGTTTTCGCTACCCCTTGATGATTCACGTATTAACGAGTGAATGATAGAATTGCAAGGTCTCCCCTATACAAGCGAATAACTTTGAGGGGTTGGCACCAGCTCTCATTATGACAGCGGAGATGGACCCTCTGAGAGATGAAGGTAAAGCTTACGGGGAAAAGATGATCGCTGCAGGTTCTCACGCCGAAACTATTTGTATGAAGGGAATGCCTCGTGAGTACAATCGGTTCCTTTTGCCCCCTTATTTTGACTATCTATCTGCATATTTCTCTTTTGTATTTTTTCACTCCTCGATTGAATTTCACTTTGGTATTCGACTGCACGCATGGAAAGCATTAATGATTGATCGTTCTAGATACATTTATGAGCATGGATGATATTCTCGAGAATGGCAAGAGATACAATCGTGAAGCAATTCGTGCTTTGGCTGCTGTTTGGGGAATCGATATTAAGTAAGGTTGGATTGTACTCATAGGATTGATGGATGCCGAGTTCGAAAGAACGATCATTTGATTGCACGCCATAATGAAGTCTTTCTGTGGTTCGTCGTTTGCAGAACATGGCGATTGAGAATCTCGGGGTTTAGACAGTATTTGCTTTAGATAAAAAGATCGTGAGTTGATATGTTGGGTTAAATGGTTGAATTTTCAAGTCTCTTTGGAGTATTTTAAAGCGTATAACTTAGAGTTTAGGACTTATAGAAAGAGATTGACACGAACATCAACATTTCTGCCCCTTCCACCTTTGAGCTTCGGCGGAGTAACGGAATAAGGGGGTGGTCTTTCGGAAAAGCTTATCGGTTCGGCGTAACTAATCATAGTGGGAACCCCTAGAGCTTGCTTTGTAAACTCCAGTGGATTCACGGATACGTTATCAGTAAGCAAATATTGATACGGAGTAAAGTAGGTATCTAGATAGATAGATTCGAATGTACATTCATTTTCCTTTTCTTCATAGATCGTATCTTATTATCCGTTTGTGAGTATTGATTTTCTTCAATTGCGAATACTTGCATCTTTATGTTATCCCAATACCTATCTAAAATGGCGAACAAGGGAAAAGAAACCCCGGAATTCTTTCTCGCGAATGGAATCAAGAGCATGCATCAAGAACATGAAGAGGCCAAACCACCTTTAGATTTGAGCCATCATTTTTCCCGCGTGACGGTTGCTCGTCAAGAGAGCGCCGTGAAAAGCTTCTACAAGTTCTTCCAGATTCCCGGAATAGGAAATTTGGCTGGAGGTAAGCTTCCTTTCATTCAAGCTGGCATTCGCCACGCTACACACAATGTTCCACTAGCAGCAGCAGCTAGATACGCACGTCGACCAATATGTTAATCGATTGTCGCAGGTCTTCCTAACGCGGCATTTTTCCCTTACGATACGCTAGAAGCCCAGATTGCACAGCCGGAAAGATTCACACCCAGTCCGAATGAAGCTCAAGGGGCGGACGAGCTTTCCCAGAAACTCGCCGCGACGACGGTTAAAAAGTCGGCAACGGATGCTTCGAGACATTTGCTCATTCCCCATTTGTCGACGACGCCGAATCCGCTGCAGAAAATTGATTTGACGACGGCGTTGCAGTATGGACAGGCGCAGGGATATCCACCGTTGTATTCTTTTGTGCGACAGTTTGCGCGCGAGAATCTGCATCCGAATATTCCTTATAAGGGCGGTGCGGAGATTCTCTTGACGTGTGGATCGACGGATGGGTTTTCTAAGGCCATTGAGGCGTTGAGTAATGTGTGGAGCGAGGAGAGAGATTGGGTGAGAGAGAGGCCGGGGATACTTTGTGAAGAGTTCGCTTATATGACGGCTGTTCAGGCTTGTAGACCAAGTTAGTATTTGCGAGGTTTGAAAATGGAGAGATTGTAAGATTGCTAATATGTTTTTTAGGAGGTATACAGGTTGTTCCGGTCAAGATTGATCTTGAGGGAATGATACCAACGGGCCCTGGTAGTCTCGAAGATGTACTTGAGAATTGGGATGATTCGAAGGGCAGAAGACCTCATATGATGTATACCATCACGTAAGTATCGTCCTACCTTTCTTATAATTATCAATACTCACCACACAAAACAGCATTGGTCAAAACCCTACCAGTGGTACTCTGTCTGTTCCAAGACGCAAAGAACTCTACGCCATCTGCAGCAAATTTGATGTAATGATCATTGAAGACGACCCATATTGGTATCTCCAATTTCCATCCGCAGCAGGACTGCAAGCAGAAGCTCGCAATGAGACTTTACCCGAGCCAGAAGCAGTGCACACGTTCAAGAATTCCACTGGTTACGCATATCTTGACAGTCTCGTCCCATCATACCTAAATTTCGATTACGATGGACGAGTGATCCGTCTCGATACGTTTTCGAAAACGGTAGCGCCGGGATGTCGTCTAGGTTGGATAACGGCACAACCAGCTGTTGTAGAGCGTCTCTTGCGAATCACCGAATGCACCACTTCACCGCCGTCTGGGTTCGTCCAGGCAATGATCGCGGAATTGATTATGGGTCCTCAAGCTGCTTCTGCTGAGTTTAGCAAGAAATCGAGAAATGAACAACTTGCATTCACAGGGTGGAAGACTGATGGATGGGTACGTTGGTTAGAGGGTTTGAGAGGCACATACGAAAGACGTATGAACAGAATGTGTGCAGCCCTCGAAGATGGTCGTTACTACGTTAAACAAGGTACTTCCAAAGCCATCTCCGATTCCGAATGGGCGGTCATTACCAAGACGAAGATGTATTCTTTTGACTGGCCGCGCGGTGGAATGTTCGTATGGATTCATATGCATTTCGATACTCACCCACTGGCTAAACAAGTCCCCGGGTCCAGGCTGGCTCGCGTGCTGTGGATTTTCCTTACTATGAAACCCCACCTTGTCCTCGCAGCTCCTGGGGCGATCTTTAGTCCCACGCCGGAAATTGCAGAGGAGAGGGGTTGGCAATATTTGAGATTGTGTTTTGCGGCTGTGGAGGAAGAGGAGGTGCAGAAGAGTAGTATGAGATTTGCCGAGGGAGTCGAGGCTTTCTGGATGATCAAGACGAAAGAGGATTTGGATGAAATTGATGTTGAGGCAAATAATGCGGGGGCTATGGACGGCGAAGTGAGAGATCTGGGAATGAACATGGCTTGTTAAATTGAGAGGTCTATGATAATATGATAATAGGGAGTAGTATATTTGAAAGTTGATACATGATGAGGCGCTTTGGATTTGGCTTGGAAATTTGAACACAGAATATAAGATTGTGTTACAGTATACAATTCAAGTGTCCTTACTGTGAGGTTGCAAGATGAATACAGAAGACTTAAGAACAGATCAGGGATTCTACTTGTTTTAAATCGCCCGAGTGTTGCCACGAGGTTTCTTAAGCGAGGATCATAGGGGGTGCTTACTTCGAACGTTCAGCCCTGAGTGATACGTTGCACAAGTTAATGATATGTGCATGAGAGAGATCTGTACTGATTCGTCCGGATTGGTGAATTGTTAACGTCTGTGATCCTATCGGACAATGATTTGCTATTCCGCTGAATAGGCTTAGATGAGAATGCATAGTTCGCATGATAATTTGATTTGATGTTAATGACGACATCTACTTAGATAGCTCATTTCATATCGCAATATCTCAGTCGTATATCCATTCAATATAGATACTCATCGCAATCATTCAAATCCATCCTTTTTGGACGCCAGAATTGTCCTTTTAGCATCCATCTTATAAATGCTCAAAATCCCCAACACCAGCAATTATACCGCCTGTCATACCCAACCAAATCTCAAGCACTCGATGCCTCTTCTGGAACCTTTCCTTCTACCGCAT